GGACCTTCCTAAGACCAGGACCAACTCAGTCTGAAGCTGGTGGTGGAGCTGGGACAACCCCACTGCTCCCCTGGGTGGATGGAGATGTCTCCAGGCCACCCAACCCATTGGGGGAAGCTTTAGACACCCTTGTCCAGGAGCAACCATGGCTTCTCCACCAGGACCAGCAAGAGAGGTCACTGGCACCAGTATGCAGGCCAGCCATGCTGGAAGGACATGGTGACCTCCCCGCTGTCCCTGTCCCCCCACAGAGGGACAAGCCAAGTCCATGAAGCTCCATCCCCAGGACTCCTCAGCATCCATGGGCACGTGTTGAGTGCATCCCAACACCACCTCGGCCTCAGCAGCAGTGGTTTGAGTCCACCACGGTGAAGGACACTCCCAAGAAGTCCAGATCCCACCATGTTCAACCACAGAAGAAAGAGTCCCCACATTTCCTGCCCAACGTGCTTGTCCCCAACCCAATCCCCAGGCAGGACTTAGGTTCTGCCCACCAGGATACACCTCACCTCTTAAGATGGTGATGTTCTTCAGCATCTCCCCATGCCGGGTGTCCACCACTTTCATCTCTTCCATGATCATGGATAAGTTCCTGATGTCAAAGTCCAACCGAGAGCTGAGCAGACTGTAACGTTCCCTCAGTAGATCCGTGGTACCTTGGACCAAGTTGAGGGACTTGTTCAAGTAGTAGAGCTCCTCAGCGTGGGTGTGGAAGCCCAAGGTGCAGGAGAGCCTGACATCATCCAGGTAGCGCAGCATGCTGTGGACGTGGCTGTCGGTAGCGTTGATGTTGGTGAAGATGGTGTTGATCTCAATCTCATGGGAGGTCATACGACCTTCTAAGGTCTGGAAACGTTCAGCCGTCCGGTTCTGGGTGTACCTGGTGTGGTAACGTAAGTCATTCATGTTCTCCTCGTGGTCATCCAAGAAGGAGGAGATGTTGTCCAGTTGTAGTTGTAACCCCATCACCTGTAGCACCAGGTCGTGCATGTTCTCTGAGTTTTGACCAACCTGTCGAGCAGCTGCACCAACGTTACCTTGGATGTTCTTCACCAACTCGCTGGTCTTAGAAGAGGTGGCTCTCAGGCCACCAAAGAGGCGGGTGTAGTTCTGCCACTCGGTGACAATCTTCTGCAACGTCAACGTCTCCTCATCCGTCTTCCTCTGGATGACCTGGATCCAGTCAGATGTTTGCCCCAAGGTGAAGTTCATCTGCTGCATGGCTGCTCGGACATCGTAACGTTCCTGGGCCAAACCCTTCAGAGAACTGTCCAGTTGGGAGGTCACCACTTGCCAGCTCCCAACTTGGGTCAAGAGCTGCCTCATGGTTTCATTGACCTGCCGGATGGAGAAGGAGCAGTTGTCCACCTCGTTGGTGATCTTGTTGCTGGTAGATGAGAGGAGGTCATGGGTCTGTGAGGTCCGGTCGAGTAGGACTTCTTGAACCAAAAGCATCTTCTGGATCTCCTCCAGCTCACCCTGCAGCTTGGTGATCTCCTGGCCCAGTTGTCCCGTCTCGTGGCACAGGGAGCAGTTCCCTGAGGTCTTCTCATCTGAATGAAGGACAGATGGGGCTGTTACCCCACCTCATCCCTCACTGGGCCTGGAGACCTTCATGCTGAGGACCAGAGCAGAGGAAGGAGCCTCACCATGGTCCATCCCTGCACACCCTGGAGATGGGCACCACAGAACCATGACTGGGACAACCCTGATGCCACCAACCTGCACCAGCTCCCACCTTCATCCTGCTCCTACCACCTCTGTGGAGCAAGTTCCTCCAAAAGCCTGACACCACCAACCCCACCCTTGAGGTCCTACAGATGTCCCTCCCCAAAACCCTGGGAGATAAGTGGGCTTTGGGCTTTGATGGAGCTCCAGGACCTGAAAAGTGGAGATGCTTCAACCCCTGACTGGCAGCACCGAGCAGCTGAGGTCCTCTCAGCTGGAGGGACATGCAGAAGACCTCCACGTCCAGGTTTGCAAGCCACTCACCCAACCCCTGGAGATCCTCCTGGATGGACACCATCTTCTTCTCATAATAGGTCTGAGCTGAGCTGATGTCGTTGGAGATGGACTCGACTTTCTTGAACACTGGAGAAGAAAGATGGGGGGTCAGGGGTGGTGGACAGGTGGTGGGATGTGATTGTCCTCCACACCATTCCTCTGGGCTCCTTCCCTGGTGAGGAGGGTGACCAGGGCTTGACCAGGGCTGGCTGGTGGGTGATGGCTCCATGGGGTGGGTTTCCCAAGGAGCTTTTGGGTTCAGGGCTTGGTTTAAGGTCTACAAAACATCTCCAAAGGTCCAGCCTTGAGGAACCCACCATCTCTGAGCTTGGGAGGCTGTTTCTTGCCTGTGGAGGTGATGAGGTGGCAACCTCTGGGCTCTGAGGTGCTTCCTGAGGTCCTCATGGGGGTAAAGCCATCTCCTAACAAGGTGACATCAGGATGCCACATGCATCCCAGGGGCAGGTCAGGTGGAGCTGGATGCTCCTCTCCATGCTTTGGAGGAACCCCAATGGTTGGACTCAATGATCTTAAAGGTCTTTTCCAACCAAAGTGATTCCACGAGGAGCTTCCCTGAGGAGTGAAGGAAGGAGATGGACCTCCCACCCCTGCCCACGCTCACCCAAGGCAGCCAGCACGGTCACAGCCACGATGAGGAGGATGGAGAAGATGTAGAGAACTTTGACGGCCGTCTGGAGGGAGAGGTTCTTCTGGCACCTGCTGCAGCTGGTCCTTGCCCGACCTGAGCACACAGAGGGAAGGATCAGACCCTACCAGTGCCCACCCCACCCACCCCAAGGGGTTGGTCCTCACCACTCGCTCGGTAGCTGAAGGTTGGCATCTCCTCTTCTTCTCCTCCCACCAACTCGTCTGCTGAAAGTCAACACAGGAGGGACCTGAGCTGCTGCCACCCTCCCTGAAGATGCTGGTGGCCTTAGGGGGACACCTGTCACCTCACCCTAACCTGGTGTCCCTGGGGAAAAGCTGGGAAGTCACATGAGATCCATCACCACCACCTTCAGCTGGTCAAAGCCTGGTGCCACCAGCTCATGGGGACACATCTCCACTCCACCACCTGCTTCTGCAGGACTCAGCTGGGACCTTTGTCCTCAAAAAGCATCAACTTGGGGAAATTTGGTTGAATTTAGCCAAAGAGAAGGGGAGGGAGAAGGTTTTTTTTGAAGGTGGGACCTCTTGGTTCCCAGCTCCAAGGAGCTTGGTGGCTTCTCAAAAACCCATCAGAGCAAAGACAACCCAAGTGTCACCTCAACCAGGACCCAACGAGGGGGGGACAACTTGGGGTTCTCCTACAGGGTGGGACACACCATGGGCTGGATCCCACCACCCACAGCTCCACCACTACCTGACCCTGAGGGAGCTTGGGGTGGTGGGACCATG